TGCTTCTTGTTGGCAATCCCACTGTTTGAAATAGCCTCCACACGCAGTGCTGAGAGACTGTCTAGTGGTCTCAATGCAAGAAGCTTGTGCTCTGTCTTAGAAAATGTTGCTAAGCTTCATTCAGGTTTGGGTTCAACGTTAAGGAATCAGCATCTATTAGGTGACATATCTTTAAACAGAAGCATACATAAAACAAGGTTATAGATTAATCAGTTAGTGAAACATAGTGACTTGCAGCAACCTAAGCTTATATTTCCCTTGGAGAATTGGTTTGGTATTCACTATTTGCAGTGATGTTATAGGACATAAATAGCACAAATAAGAGTCTGCTGTAATTTCATTTCCCATGAATATATATTTAGTTTCTCTTCCCAAAGTAGGTACCTTACCCTTGACTAGCTAGTGTGTAAAAGATCACTATAATAATTTAGGTTAAATTAACATAGTGTGTTTACAAACATTTTAGATAACTTTTTAAAGAATGAAATTATAAAACCCCTAACATTCTACATTTTTAGTCAACAAAAATGGCTCTTGGATCATTTTGGTGATTTAGTGGTCCTACTATTGTAGTTTTTCATCATTATGCACCAATTTTCCATGATCCTGCTATTACTTTTAAAAACTATGTGTACTTAAATATCTGTCTTTTAAATTAAAAGGTAGAGGATGAATGTTTCCTCAATTTTCCCTGAAAGTTGTATGATACTGTAGGCAACTCCCCTCCCCTCAACTGTACTGCATAATACTGTATGTCATCAGTTGGACTAATACCTACTCTATAGGATTGTCAAGAATTAAATTAGAAAATGTAGAAAAAGACACAAAAAGGGACGAAGATTTGACGCAGCTTTTAGCACATGGCAAAACTTCAATAGATAATAGCAAATTTTCTTATAAATAAGCAAGAGAACAAAGGTACTTTGATAGTTTTTCTTTGAAAGATTTTAACTTCTTTTCAGATGCTTAGAACTTTATGTAGTCACTTTTAATCAAAATATTTAAGAAATAAATACCTTTGCAAACATGTTCATACTTCACAATACAAATAAACATTAAAGATATATATGTCTACTCAGCACCTTATTACATTTGCGTGTTATTGCTGGGCAGCAAAGAACTGTGCGAAACTATCAGGACCCTGGCCAGCAACCCACAAACTGGGCCCCAGCCCGCTTCTGCCAAGTTTAGCTGACCCTGCCAGGGTCCCAGAACTGGATTCCCACCAGTCTCCCAGGATTGTTTTTATTAACAGATCAGCAAACCCTCAGTGGAAGACAATCCCACTTGAGCTTATAAGATGATCAAGGCCCCTTAAAATTCAAGTGGGTAATTAAATAAAAGTGTGTGTGTGCATTATGAAATACTTACAGAACACCAGGTAGAAGGTACGGATCGGTTATACCAGGTTAAACAGTGCTCAAAACAATGATAACAGGAACAAAGTTGCAGAAAAGGTATACAGGTATAAGTTGGAGATACTGCAGGCTCGCTTCCAGGCTAGTACAATAAAGCAAGTTCCATGACGTTTAGAGCTTCTCAGTGCGTATAAAAAAGTTATGTTTACACTACTGTCGTCTATTGACCGATAGACGTCTACTGACGAATGTGTAAAGCATTATGAAAACATGGAAATCGTGTGAGGAGATCAATATGAGACACAGAGACACAAACTGAGTGCAGGCTGCTGGCCAAATGACACCCAACAGCCTTGCTCGATGCCGGCAAACCTGCAATTTGTACCTAAGGCCGTTATCTGTGAAGCCCAGGAAACAAGGCATGGCTGTATCATGACACCACTTGTGTGTACATGAAACATAGAGCAACACAGACCAGCAGTGAGGACATACAACCAGTGACCTTTGGGGAAGAGAAGAGGAATGCTACTGGGGACAAATGGGAACATCGGCAGGTTATTTTGTAAAATAACAAGGCCATAAAGGAAACATATACTTTATTTACAGATTTGGGAAGTGTGTATTCAGGGGGTGGGGGTCCTTTTTTCTGTGCATTCTACTACAATTTTTAAATTTCTAAAAGTAATTGGGAAGAAATATAAAAAGTAACTTAAGAGTCAGCAAAAGAGGGAGGGGGTGGGTGCTGTATCACCCTTATAATGTGGCATAAATCAATACATTAACCTTTTCTTTCAGGGAGACTGAGTTAAGTACATCCTTTTCCAGAGTTCAAGTACATTCCATGCTAGCTCTGGTCAAATCTTTTAATTTAGGAATTAGATGAGCATCTACTGTGTGTCTAGCAATATGAGGTGTTACACACACACACCCCCCAAAAAAGAGGTGGGAGTACAAAGCTCTGCTGGGCGGACCTTTCATAGTACCCATTTTTCCTGCTAGGCGAGCATGGAGCAACTCGCTCTGAGTGAGTGCACCCAGTGGCACCGCCTGGGAAGGTTCCCTCTGGTGCATTTTTACATAAAAGCAGTTTCACTAGAACCTTGTTTTTCATTGTGGCAGATTTAAGAGAACAGCATGCGGCTTTGAAATTTTATTTCCTGTTTGGGAAAAATGCCGCAAAAACTGTTGTGATGTTGAACACAGCTTACAAGGACAGGGCTATGTGAAAATCTCAAGTGTACAGAGAAATGTCGTGAAATGTCGACTGACAACAAACCTCATTCTGAACATCCGTCAACTTCCCAAACGGATGAAAACGATGACAAAATTCATGTACTTGTTCCTTGAAGACCAATGATGGACCATCAAAGAGATGGGGAAATTATCTTGACCATCTCGGAGCTCGGTTCAGCGAGTTTTAACAGATGGTTTGGGAATGAGAAGGGTCGCTGGGAAATTTGTGCCTTGGGTCCTGACGACCAGCAAAAACAACATGGAGTGGAAACATGCTGTGCTTTGACAGAACAGTTCCGAAGGGACCCAGGCTTTCTCCCCCAAGGTCATTTTTCCCAAGGTCATCACTGGTGATGAGACATGGTGCTATTCTTATTATAACCCTTAAAACATGGTGCTATTCTTATTCTTATAACAAGCATTAACCAAGACAGTGGAAGACACCATTGTCACCTTGCCCCCACAAGCTGGTCAAGTGAAATCAAGGATCAAGATGATGCCCCCTTTTATTTAATCTTGTGAGGGAGATAGTGCATTTGGAGTTCATTCCACCAGGTCAGACTGTTAATCAAGCTTTCTATTTAGAGGTTCTGAAAAGATTTCATAAGTAGTGTGTGACAAGAAAGGCCTGATCTGTGGCAAACTGGGGACTGGTTTTGCCATCACAACAATGCACCTGCTCACACAGCCATCACCATGCACCAGCTTGTGGCAAACATCAGCATGCCTCTCTTTCCCCATGCACCTGGATCACCTGACCTCGCCTCCATGTGGCTTCTTTTTGTTTCTGTGAATAAAGAGGGACATGAAAGGATGGTGATTTTTATGACGTAGAAGAGGTAAACAAACACAAACAAAAACACGAAGGAGGTACTGTCAGCCATCCAAACAGAGGCGTCTGAAGAATGTTTCAAAGAATGGAATCGCAGATTTGACAAATGTATTAAGTGTAATGGAGTGTACTTTGAAGGCAATAAGGTTGTTTTGTGAAAAATTTTAAATATCTTTGGGAGAGGAAATTCCCTTTTTTGGAGGGGGGTACCCCATCATATGTTGCCCAGATATTGGAAACCCAGAGTTCAGAAACACAAAATATGTAGTTTCCAGCCCTGTGCATGAGGATGGAACTTGGTGAGCACTGGGGTAAACCAAAAGACTATCTAAAGGCCTTCAGGTTCAAGTTTGTTTGATCCATGATAGTAGCCAAACTAATGAGATTGCAAGCCAAATTCCCCTACAACTGCAACTATCCAATCTCCAAATAGCTGCTGACATAAGACTTAACCCTTGGAAAGCCTGGCTCTGAAAAAAAGTTTCTCTTCTGTAGTTGTCAGGACAGGATAAGTGAAATGAATCACCTTAGTATTCAAAATAATTGGGTGATTTTTTTTATATGTATGCTCGGTGCTGTTAAGTCGATTCTAACTCCTGGCCTATCGGACGGAGTGGAATTGCCTGGTAGGGTTTTCAGAGCTGTCAGACGGCTACATCTTTCTCATGCAGAGCGGCTGGTGAATCCAGACGGCTTCCTTTTCAGAGAGCAGCCAACTGCTAACCACCACACCACCCTAGGCATAAGGAAAGGAACAGAGGTTGGCAGTCAGAATGAGCGAAGGACACAATATCTGCAGGAGTGACGTGTCTGGGTTTGACTGATTGTAGTAATCAGTTCAACAGCCTCATAAGATGGGCGTTTCAAAAATGGCCGATGAACAATGTGTATGTCATTCACAACAAACATGAAGAGGAATGCTGAGTGGGGAGAGAGATAATCAGACATGCGATAAGCAGTCTGCTGATCTGTTTACCGGTTCAAACAGTGACATCATTTTGGTCTCTAGGTAAATGTGGCGGGCCCAGCCACAGAGCCTCAGGTGCGGCGAGGTAAGCGGTTTCTCACCTAGAATGCACACCAGGATGTTAGTCTCCTTTCTGAACTCTGGAGGCCACGACGCTCAGAGAGGAGAGGGAGCCCCCTAGTGGCCAGAGTCTGCAGTTCAGCCCCTCCACCCTCCCACCAGCCTAGCCTGGCTGCAGGCCTGTGGCTGGGCAGGACCAGAGGGTCGGACGTAGGCCACACAGTGAGAACATGGACTGCATTTGTGGGAAGAAGACCTGCAGCCCAACCTGCTCTCCAAATGACCAGACCGTGGACGAAACCTGTGAAGAAGAAATCATTCATTCCCCCTACTTCATGTGTTCATTAAACTATGTATAGTGTGTGTGACTTGATCATTAGTAGTCAGTGGAAGAATCCCAGTGATGTCTTGTCATCTGAATTTGCCAAATGTGACTCTAAATTGACTTTCTCTGGTGGAGTGGATACTTTTGTTTTCTGATTAGGAAATTGAATTGAGATTTTTGTCCCTTTACCTTATTAATGTGATCTGTTATTTCTTTCCCTTTCAGAAGTGGGAAACTAAATAACCATTTAGAAGCTGCTATTCACGAGGCCATGAGTGAACTGGACAAAATGTCTGGGAGTGTAAGTTAATTTATTTTTCCATTATGCTGTGCTTAAAAAAGTAAATTATATCCCTTTTTTGGTAAATATCTCTTTAACATTGTCAAGCAACTCACATTGTAGCAGTAACTAAATTACTGGACTCGAAAAAAGATGGGTATATATTTTAAAGTATAACTTAGCTGTGATAACTACATCTTTTTTCGGAGATAAGTAACCTCTGCATTTTCCACATAATTTTGAATGTTGAAATGGAAATATTGAAGTTCAAATCATGCTCTCTACATTTGAATCTGAATAGCAGTGACCATTTACTGAGGACTAAATAGTCATTCAAATTTCACTTTACCCATGGAGCAAGAGTGGAATTGAAAAGTCTTTATGGAAACAAATTGGCACATCCTTCTCCCATGAAGCAGCTGGTGGGTTCAAACTGCCAGCCCTGCAGTCAGCAGCCGAGTGCGTCACCCCTGGGCCACCCAGGCTCATTACCAGAGATTGGGGGGCGGGGGGGATTTGAGAAACTCATAAACCTAATTTGAAAAGTTTAAATATTATTTGTAAAAAGCTTTCTGTATTTGGGCTCTGAATAACATTGGTCTCCCCACTGTTTTCAAATGTACCACTGAGGTCAAAGGAGCCTGCGCGTTCTGGAGTTCTGAACCCCTTCGATCTTAAGCCTGACGGTTCAGTTTGACTTTTTGTTTGGTAGATGGCAGGAAAGTTTGCTTTATTGGACATTGTGACTGCTTCTTTTTTCAAAAACCATTTTATGGGCATACAATTCACATATCATACAATTCAGTAATTGAATCACGTCTAGAAGAGTTGTACAATCATTACCACTATCGGTTGTAGAACATTTTGTTCATTCTTGTACTCTTCCTTATTAGCTCCCCATTTCCCCCCAACCTCCCCTGCCATGCCCCCAAGGAGCCTTCAACCCAGTGACTGTGTCTCTAGATTCACCGCGCCTGCATTTCCTACAGTAACTGTTCTTAATGTTACAACAAGACGGATTACAGCTGAAGGAGCTCCTGGGTGGATGGCTTTCCCTCTCCTCCTGTAAAACCATTCTCCTCTTAGATTCCAATACAGTTGGAGACATCCTAGGTTCGATAGAGAAACATGGGCTAATAGTGTATGGGAGCCAGCTTATAGCCAATCGTGAGAGTTGGCTGTGCACATCTTTTCCCAACTCTGAGTTTCATGACATCACACTGATAGTTTGGAAGTATTGACACCCCTAACATTGGCGGACACTGCAGTGGGCTTGTGTCCATCATTGTTTATCCCTGTGTCTCCCCCCCCCTGCAGGGCTACACCACTTTCCCACTAGGCATCCCTGGGCTTGACCTGCCCCACTCCCATTAGTGGTCATAGCACCAGGCAGGGAGCCCAGTCACCTCCCTAACTCTTCCCCTCTGCCCTTCAAAAGCCTAATGCTCTTAATGCCTGGCAATCGCACTTGGATGCTGCTCAACCCTGTTCAATCCAACACAGAGCCCTAAATGCGACTGCTCTAGAGTAAAGAGAGCAGTGTTGGTTGCTCATCCCAGACGACACGAGCTCAGATCTGCCGACAGATGGCGGTGGTATTCTGTTTTCCATCCTGATTCATCTCGTAAGTAGACATCCTTGGGTCGAGCTATGTGTGCATGCTCTTGCCATGCTACCCCTCTGCAGAGTCGTTCATTAACTTGTGTGATAGGATGAAGATGAAACATGCTGGAGACGAATTTTCTTGCCCGGGTGGCAATGAAATCGGTGATCGAGTGATAGGCCTCTGATGGGAAGGGCTGTATTTTTGTTCACAGTGTACAGCGGAAGGCACAACCGCATGTTGCGTTCAACCCACTTGCTTTTCTTGAGTTGTCTTTTGTGCTCCACTGCTTATTGATGTCCTCGGAGTGTTCCTCCGTGTCTTATCTGTTTCTAGGATTCCTGCAGTGATGTGGGCGCACTGAGATCGGGGTCCTGATTCAAACATCAGTGCCTCAAGACAGTCAGTGATCGGCTCTTTGTTTTCAATTACTAAGTCAGAAATTGTGTGCTGTTTATGATTTCAACCTATCTCCCCCCTCCCCCATTTGGTTTTTTCTAGGTTCACCAAATCCCACAGGGAGACAGACAAATGAGGCCCCCCAAACCCAAGAGGAGGAAGATCTCCAGATAACAGGGACTTCTGCACTGATGCACAGCATTCATCCAATGGAACGTGTGCGGCAGCATCTGTATGCTGGTATTTATACCATGGCCAATAGCTACCACCGCCGCAGGGTGCTAAAAGAAAACAGTGATCCAATATTTTTTGATCAGGAAGGATAATGAATGCTGGAAAAACGAATCAAAAAGCCCCGAAAGAGGAGAGTGATGAATGGTCAAGCGCTTACTGAGAAACTCTTTTTCTATAATACTACAATTGTGATGATACAAAATAGTCCAAATGTTTCTGAGGAATTTTCAATGTTGTATAGAGAAAATACAGAATTTCACGGTGATATCAGAGCTGTAAATATTGTACAATATTGTCATGTACAAGCGTACCTAATGCACACTTTATCTTTTATTGTACAAAGAAATAGTGTACAAAATTCTTTGGTTTCTATCGCGTACACCTACCAGAGACTACCAGTGTAAAGTCATAAATAAAAATACAACCTAACTGCTTTTCTATGATAATGTAAAAGATGCTGTTTTTGTATTTAACAGCAGAGAGGAGGTAGGATGATGATGCCCGAGTGATGAGGGCCGTCACTCCACAGCCCTGAGTGTCCATCTACACTGTCTGTCCGGAAGGAACTGGCCCGAAGGACTGCACTCAACATCGGGTGTCTAGGAAATTGCAACCTTGCCGATTTCTAAAGGCATGAGGGTTCACAGGTCTCAATTAAGAATTCAGAAACTGCAACCATTTGTTGCATATTTTTTTTACCTAAGTTTTAAAGTAGAATAGGTTTTATATTAAAAAAAGAAAAAGAAAGAAAGAAAAAAGAATCCTAGATGTGATATTTTATTCAGTCATTTCGAGAGGCAATGTTGCATAGCCACCTGTGGAACGCGATAGCTTGTGGGCATCGCCATCGATGCTCAGAATTGCATTTTGGGTCAAACTACAGATGACAAGGTCAAACTTTCTGTTTTCAGAAGTGGAGGCAAAAAAGTATTTTGAAACCATGTCAGAACCAACCCTTTTGTGACCCAGGGGGCATGTGAGGGGGCTGCAAAGTTGATGGGAAATTCCATTTGTTTATGAACTTTTTGAAGCCCCCTGTGATATACAATATCACCCACCAACACTTTCAGCCTCTCAGATGGGAAACTCCTATCCCAGTTTTAGTACATGCTGCCACCTGGTGGACACCTGTGTAACTGCATGAACCTGAAGACAGGCCTTAGTCCACCAATCCTACTACCAGAATCCACGTGGCCCACATAATTAAGTCAAAATCCATACTTACCTCAAAAAATTCTTTCCCCTTGCCTTCCAGCATGCCTTCCATAACTGGAAACACCTGGTATGAACAAAAAATTCAAAGTAGAAAATAATTCGATCATGAAAGGGTTAAAGTTGATTATGATTCTGGACGGCTTTTTTTGGTTGGGGTTTGTTTTCATTTATTTTTTTGGTGGGGGAGGGGGCGTAGTGACAACATTAAATATAAATGACCACAGTAATTTTCATATCCATTCCTCAGTATTACTTAACCCAGAAGACAAGGTGGCTTATAAAGTTATTAGCAATGGTAATTTTTATCAGTATTATGTAACATATCAGATTTATTTTATTTAAAGAATTATTTATACCATTAGCAGATTCTTATATATATTGATGTGGCTGAAATGTGCAGGTTATATCTATTAACCAAATTATTTATATTATATTAAGTAAAAAACAATGTGAAACCAATCTAGAGAAGACATAGTACATTACAAGTATACAAACCTAAAACTGTGAGCCATTGTAAAGTACAAGGTAATGAATAAGAAATGTAGCACAACGTCATTTTCCGTCTTTTTTTCACAACGTGGTGGTGGTACACAGAGCCTGATCTCCCCGCAGTAAAGCAGAGTTGCAGGCCTCCAGCCTGACTTCACCTGATGGATTGTCCAAAGAAGGGTTTCATTATTCCTGTATTCCAACCCCCACTTTAAACCCCTAAGACCGTCTCCCCTCAGGCCCCGGGGCTCACTCAACAGCATGATGATGCCCAGGCTGGTGGGAGGCTCTCACCACACCACTGCCCACCACCTCCCAGCCTTCCCTCTCCTCGCCCCCAACACCTCAGTCCTTTGACTGAGCAGAGTTCCTGTAACTCAGGGAAAAAGGAGACCCAGGGCATTTCCTCAAACTGGTGTCTTGGGGCCACAGCACAGAGCAGGTCACCTGAGCTCACTTTTGATCGCAACCACTCGTAGTTCTTCCCAGTCTCCGGAGTCCCGTACATCTTGCAGTGCTCCCCACGAGCTCCTCACCTCCCAAACCCCTGCTCCTAAATCGGATGGAATGCAACTGGTTACACTGGGCTTCCCCGCCTGCAGGCAGGAACCCCTCCTCCTGGGGGAGGTTCAGTTTCTTTCCTTTAATGTAGGGCCTGCCTCCAAGGCCCTTCCTTAAGAAAATCCTCTGTGTAGGCCAGTTGACACCTTTTTGTTATGAGTTAGTGAATGTGCGTGGTGTATTTAAGTCATTCATATTTCCCTTTATTTATCTATTATTTATTTATTGACCCCATCCACCTGCTTTCCCACTGTTTTGTCTTCGCAGTGGTTTCTGTTCATAGATGGAGGTGTGTGGGGTGGGAGTGGGGTTGCTTCTGGGTTGGGTGTGTCTGTGTGTATATGGTGTGTGTGTGCTGAGGGGTAGGTTTTGTGTGTGTGTGTCTTTGTGTTTCTGACTTTGCTTTTCCTATCCTCAGGCTGAGTTTGTGTTGCCCAAGCCTTCTTTGAGGTATTTTCTAGTACTTGGGTTGCACTGCCCCTACATTAATGTGTACTTGGCTTCCGTAGACCTTGCAAAGTTTGTGCCCTGGTTTCACTGGTGGCTTATGGCTAGTTGTGGGTACTAGGAGTAGTTTCAGTTCACACTGGCTTTTCCTGACCCCCCTCTTTTCTATTTCACAGTTTGATGATCTCATGTAAGCAGTCAGTGTAAATATTGTTAGCATTACAGGTCATGCAGTGCGCTAACATTTCTTAAAATATTGCACCTACTTTCCAATTAAAAATAGTTGGTCACTCATTCTTGAATTCTGCCCAAAGAGCCATTTCTTTTTTCTCTTGGTATTAAAACCAATTCACTTTTTTTTTAAATAATAAAGGCCAGCCTTTCTGTTTTAAATTTTTATGCCCATTAAAAAAAAAAAAAAAGGTCTTTCAGGGGGGGAAAAAAACAAAACAAAGATGGAACTTTTTTTTTTTTAAGTTCCTAATGGTCCCTTTTGGAAAAGACAGTCTACTTCATTTGTGTCCTCAGCTGTCCTGGGAAGCACAAGGAGACGACACTACTACACCTTGAAGTAGCTCTTAAACATCATTTCAAACCAGGGAAAACACAGCAGCTTTTGTGTGATTTGTCTTATTTGTGCCATTAAAGTAAGCGCTTTTATTTATTGAAAGGGACATTTTTGGTTTGTACTTCTCAATCCCATTGTGCATGGAAATGTCCTAAGGAAAACATTGACCTTTGTGACCTCACCGAAGAGTTTTCCTCTTTTATCTGGACCCTGACTTGGAGTTGTTTACTGTCTGTTTTTAAGTAAACAACCTTCCTGTGTGAACATCACCTGACGGTCAGACTGTGGGTGAGTTAGTTCACTCTCTGTCAGCAGTACGAAGCCTCTCAGCTGAGCTCCCCCATGACAGGATTCTTCTGGTCACTGCAGACCCCGAGAACACGTGTTTTCCACTGGGGTCGTTTCCATGAGTTTTGCTCTGCCCACGTACAATGGCAAGTTTGCAGTGGGATTGTAAAAGCGAAGCTGTTTAAGATGCTGGTGACATTGCCTCTCCAGGGGATGGGGCTAAGATTCTAGATCTTACTAAAATGTGGTACCGTGTTTGTTTTGCCTATGCTAGCAAACAAGACTGGCGACTTTTCAATGCAGAGTGTGAAGTGAGATCTGTACGTCCTTTGGGGCTGTGAACAAAGACATAGCAACCAGCCAGACTGCAATATGGTCCTAGTTCATCTTTTTCTTTTATCCACTCCATCGTGTCTGCATTAGCCAAAGAAACAAGAACGTTAGTCACTCATTTGTGTAAACAACCCAGAAGTGAATATTAAATCAGTGAGCCAAAAAGCAATAAACAACTCAAGCATGGGAAATCCTGCTGCCAGTGAGGAGTCCGATAGAGCAACAAATATATAAAAAGCATTATCTTCAAATATGAAAGATTAATTTGTATTTATTGTAAATATGTATTATCAGCCTTATCTGCTTTTTATACACACTGTGTGTGTACCTCAGTGATCTTTTATAAACCGGAAATATGGTTGGTTTAATAATTTGTTATGTAAATACAAAGTTGTCTATAAATTGGAAAATTGGATGCCAGATGGCTTCACAATATACAAATGTGTTTTGTAACATCACGCCTTCATGGATTAAGTATCAATACACTGGATGGTCTGTGGAGAAGTGTAGCAGTCTACATTTCACCCACATTTCAAATGGCTATTTTTGTCCAAGTGGTTATATGCTTAGGGAAAGAAAAGGACCCGAGCATTGTCACTGTGGAAAACAAATGTGGTTTTGCTGTCACCAAAGCACCTTTTCACATTCAAGAGTCTGTTTCACATTCAAGAGTCACATTCAAGGTGCTTGGTCTGATGGGATTCCAGCAGGAGATCCATTGGCCCAGGGCTGGCATCAAACGAGGAGGACTCCCTAAGCTAAACTTCTCTAGGGACAGGCCATGCACCTTTCTTTCTGGTCACCGACCAGAGGAGAACTAGTTTTCTTCATGCTTTTTCATTTGCTCTTTCATGCGTTGCTTCCGCACACCTTAGAGAGCACCACAAGAGACGTCCAGGTCTTCTGAAAGGAGCCCGGTGGCCCAATAGGTAAGCATTTGGCTGCTAACCCAAAGGTCAGCAGTTCCAACCCACCTCTGGAGAAAAAGACCTGGTGCTCTGCTCCCGTAAAGATGTCAGCCCTTCGGCAGTTCTACTCTGTTCTCTAGGGTCCCTCCGTCTGAATCAATGCAACCACAAAACAAGAAGAGCAACGGGTGTGGTAAACCAAGGCGGCACAGTATCCCCCTAAGGTAGACGTTCTCAGACTTGGCACGACTGGCATTTGGGGCTGGGTGACTCATTGTTGGTGGGGAGGTCCGTCCTGTGCATTGTAGGGTGTTTAACATCATCCCTGCACTCTGCTCACCAAACGCCAGTAGCAGCTGCTGAAGGCCTGAGAAGCAACGTGCCTCCAGATAGGACCAAATGCCTCTTGGGGTGAGAAAGGGGACTACAAGGAGATTTGAAAACACAGCCCTCAGGGAATCAGCTGGGGAGTGTACACCCTTGTATACCACACCCACATTTTGCGTCCTGTAATCACCAGGAAACTGCCCTGGATGCCATCAAAATCGGAGTCCAAGGTGTGCTGCCCAGTCCGCAGTTAGACGTGAACACATTACCATCAGCTTCATTCTGAATACAGGGGTGCT